TTGACCTCCGGACTAAACTATTAAAAGGTGATGATTGAGTAAATTAGTTCAGCCTTCTCATTTTAAATATGATAAAAATACTAATGTCATATATCAGCTGTTAGGAGTGAAGGGTTCCAGGCTGGCAGCATGGGACAGAATGAAAGAGATAGATGGGCTTTGGCAGACCTGCCACTCCTATATAGAAGCAGAGTCTCCAGACAGGAAATGCTGTCAGCGAAATATCTGCAGCATATAAAGTCCGAGGGAAGGTGAGTTTGTGATTCTCACAATGCCCGATSAGGTTTCTAAGAGGAGAGGAGGATGGCGTCAGGAGTTGGAACCAAACAGTGGGAATCAGTGATGGGGTCTGGGGACCAGTGTGCAGAGGTGGAGAACTAAGCCCGAGTTCCAGCAACGCATGTGCAGGGGTCCTGGAGGCTGGGCCATGTGAGTTGTTCAATCAGGTGTGGGGACACCAGGTATCAGAGCACATGAAGTACTGACAAGCATTAAGCCCAGGGTGAGTGAGATGAGTCAATAAATAAGAAAAAAAGATTCTTAAGATTTATATCAAGCCGTGTCCCAGTAAGAAACACAAGACACCCTAAAATTAACATAATCTAAGGAGAATGCCATGATTGGTCTGTGTGATTGATAGAGTGTGGCTGAACTGATGGTGTGTTACTTCTGAGATTAGGTTTTACAAGACTTTATCTTCCATCTTTGAATTTCTTTCTCTCCCTTTCATATCTTTCACTTTCTCAATAAACTCTCTTACTGGATATGTAAATGAATGAAAGAGGAAAAGATAAATACGGCCCTCATCACCTCATTTCCTTTCCCGGGCTCAGCATGCTGGTGATCAGAGCTGAGACCTTTCATGGTTTAGCCTTCCCACATCTCCACCTGCTYCCCATCACTCAAATCTCCATCTGTGAAAATAGAACTGGCTTTTTTATTGGTTACTTTCATTCAAGACAGTTATAGCAGAAATGCTGGGGGTGGAATCTAGGGGGTGGTCCTTTTCACTTTTTGAATTATTTCCTTTGAAGACAAAAAGTTCTAATCATTCTTGAACCAATGATTTCATCCTACTTAGGGGAAAGTTTAATAAATTAGTACATTATTCTGGTGGATTAGTTGGCCAGCATGAAGCTGTCCTTTGAATAATAATACACTTTGAGCCAAAACTCCTTTGCTTTCTAAATCAGAAAAATAGAATGGGCTTGATTTATATGTTTCCAAGGGGATAAAAACTGTCTACAGAAACCTGCTTTGCTTTCTCATCTCAATCCTTCATTTTTAGATAATCACACACAAAAGCTTAAAAGTGTCTGTTGACTTCATCATCTATAATGAGTGCCAAGTATCACGGTACTTGGGAGTCTTTTTCAAAGTCAACCTATTACCAACATCAACTAATTTTGGACTACTTACTTATTCATTCACTCTTTAAACATTTACTAAACATATATTACTTACTTTCTTTCATGAAGCTTCAGGAACATAAAAAATAAATAAATAAACCTCTGTTCAAGAATAGCTCATAACCAACTCAGGTTTAACAAAACGTTTTGGGCTAAAAGTTACAAAAAGAATGTATGCAACGAATTTTGGGGATAGTTATTGTTTTTCATAGTCTCTGAAAATTTTTGACCCTTATCAGTAATATATCACTCATTTAGCCCTTATATTTTTATTAAACCAGAAAAGGTTGCTATAAACATGAAATCTCTGCAAAAGGAAAAAATTAGATTTTAATTTGTCTCAGTACGATGGTGTTTGGAAATGATGAAAATGATAGGTAGAACACAACACTGAAGGAATGAGATGCTTCATAATTCATTAGAAAATATTCAGAATAGAACTTAGGTACACATTGCATCACTATAAAGTTGTTATCTCACTAATACATAAGCCAATGAAATTATCTTCATACAATTTTCCAAGAATCAAGACATCTCTATAGCATCTACACCTTTGGAGGGTTTAATGTTTAATACCTTTATCTATTACATGTTTTTATTCTAGAACTTATGCTTTATTAATATGTTCTGAAACAGCTAGTTCTACTTAAAATTTAATAGCCATCTGTCTTTTGAAAATATACAATTTCAAACAGAGGCCACAATGCTGGGTTATTTTGCTGATGTGCGAGGTAAAGTCATTAAACATTCTTGGAGAGAGGTGCAAAGCTTAGGGACTGTCCTTTATCCAGGTAGAGAGGATGAGTGCTGAGTCTGAAATCTGAACTTGAGGACCATTGAACACATTGCCACTAAAATTCTTAGTATTCATTTCTCTTAAAACATTTACAGATGTGCACAGATTAATTGGCTTCAGGCATTCTGTTATCTAGGAGGAGTAACAGGTTTGGTAGCTAAAATTAGAATTAAAACCAACCAACAAACAAACTTGTGTTCTAATGTAGGTGAGGTGTTATAGCAAGAGACCCAAGCTGGCAGGAGAGGTCCTTGTGAGATGTAAGTGGCAAAAGCGCCAAGGCATATTATGGAAGGACAATGCTGTTTCACTCTCATGTCTAGATTTGAGTTTGAAAGGCTGAGAGCTAGAGTTATTCACCATTCACACTGCCACACGTTTTTACAGCATGCTTTTTATTACATGGATTTAAATATATCAGGGTGATGGGTGAGGGGGCGATGGAGGAAGCTGGAAGGGAAATTAGAAGGCATGTGGCTTTCAGCTATTTTTTTCAGTTTAAACTTGGGGGGGGGAGAAAGATTTTCTCATATTTTTTTAAAAAAACAAAAACATTAGAGTAATGAAAATATGAATAACCAAGATGACAATAGCCACAAGTCAAGGAGAGTATGTTATACACTCTAAGTTAGGTCCCATGTTAAATGTTCTAAGGACCTCATCTCATTTCATGTCCCCTGTGTTTCCCCCACTCTCCCCAAACAGTAAAATTCTATTCCAGAGCTATTCCTTTCACATATTTGTAGCAGAAGCACTGGAAAAGGATTCTACTGTATTTACAATCCTGAATTTATAAGATCTCCTTCACTCTTGACCTTGTTGGAGTTACTTTATGCTTCCAGGTGGTTAACAGGGTGCCTCTGACTGCTGAGGGGAGTGGACTGTCTTTCCTCCTCACCCATAGTCAGGCTTACACAAAGCAGAGTGTTTTTTCTTGGGCTTATTATCAGAGGAAGTGACACCTCCTACAGGGACAACTGCAAAGTTGAGACCTGTACCTACACAGCTCTACCTCTCTGTTCTGGGTCTCATCCAGTCCTTGGACTCAGAGACTCACCTCTTATATAGTGCTCATAGGGTGCCAGAATGTGGAGAATGACTCAAGGAAGATGACTGGCCCTTCGAAGTGAATGCTGTTCACTGTTCTGAGAGGAAGGTGGCAAGAAGGCAGGTTGTTTTTTGATATCTTCCAATAAGCCCAACCCCAAAGAGAAGGCTTATAAAACAGGCAAGGAAGAGCTCCAAATAATTCAAGTGGTTCGCCACACAGAGGGGATGAGGACTCAGACTCATTGTCTTCTAAGGAAAGAGAGGCTGCAATCCTACTCCTTTCATTGATCCACTGGAAGAAGGCACCTGCTACCACACCCTGGACACTTTCTCTTTTAAAGAACTCTTCTATCCTCTCCTTCCTCTTTTTCTCCTAAACTTTGCTATTGTTGGTGGTATTTAGACGAGCTGTTTTCTCTCCTCCGGGTGTGCTCCAGGATTTGATCTAATTGTCCTGCTGTTCAAGTGTCACTTGGCATTATTATTGGGAAGATGAATGGGACATGGGTCAGAGTTCAGCAAGAAGGCATCTGCTYGGTTGCATGGCATAGTAGAAGCACTCAGAGGTGATCTTTAACGAAAGATTTGCACAGATCAGTCTTTCCTCTAGCCTTCCAAAGCTGGAGTGTCCAAAAGATGGTTCTTTTCTGCAATGCCAGAAATTAAATAAACATGAGGTAGTAATATTTGTGTAGGATGTTTCCTGCTTACAATGTTTTTTCTTATACAGGGGAAAAATTGGGGGGGTGTGATTAAACAGGGAGGAGAAAAACAGAAGCTTCTGAATGGGTCCTAACCATTTTTTGACTGTTTTGCTCATACAACAATCTCACCCAAAGAAGAGTTTCCATTCTCCACGCGAAGACTCTCACCCCCTGTCTCTGCGGGCCTCAGGTTACTGCATCACCGCCATCGCAGGCTCAGGTTCTCCTACTGGGCCCTCTTCGGGCTCATGGTTCTTCCACTCCACCAAGTAGCCTGAAGCCCCACTTAGACCTACACTTGCTTTGGCTTTTAAGACAAGTGGGACAATGGCCTCATTGTTCTTATTGCCCCCTTGAATAAGGCAACTGTCTCCTCCATCTACCCTATCACCAAGGAAGGCTAGGTGTGGGTTCCTTGGAGACCTATCTTCCTTCCACTCCCTCATTGTTCTTTAAAAGAGGGTTATTGTGTGTTCCTCTCTGCCCTCTACCTATCAAACATGTTTGGAGGACCCTAGTGGACCTTGTCCTTTTCTCTTCTAGACAGAGTAGAAGTTGGGAAAGGGAAGAAAGAAGCACAAATCAGGAAGCTTATTTTAGTAAAAGATGCCACCTGCAGCTTGGGGTTCTTTTTGGACCTCCGGGCTGACGCTCCACGGTTGTCGGTGGGATTTCTGGCTCACACACTAAAAATACCCGGGACAGGGAGAGCCTGGTATTACCCAAAGCTCGCAGGAGAAGCGGCATCCCAGGATAGGTGGGGATCCGGCCACCAGCTTTCCGCGCGGCAGGAGCCACGGAGTCCTCCAGCAGGGCGCACCTTTGCGACGGGGTTTCCCGGCTGCCTTCCGGGAACCCCGCGGAGCTCCGGCTGCTCCGGTGGGTGCAATCTTCCTCCACTCTCCAGTAAGCAAGCTCTCTTCGCCTGCCAGGTCTCCGGAGCGAGCGCTCAGTGTCCTTCTCTGAGCATGCGCAGCCTGGCGCCCTCCCCGCCCCCGCCTTCTGCCCCCTCCCCGCCAGCCTTTTGCTCCTTTCCTTTCATTAAACAAGCAGAAGATCCTGAAACCTGGACCCTGTGTAGGCAGCAACGTCAAGAGGCGGCGGAGGAGGAGGCAGAGCGCGGAATGGGCGCTGAGGGGGATCTGTGATCCCCCGCACCCCCGTCCCCCCTCCCGCGCGCGCTCACACACATACATACACACACTGGCATACTCGCCACACACTCGCACAAACACACACTCGTGCACGCCCGCGCCGCGCGCTCGCCGACTCTCTCTCCCACGCAGGCGGAATGCAGCAGCTCCCGGGGAGAGTGTCTCCAGCAGCTGCCTGAATGCACTTCGCTGCCGGGAGCGGGACGGCCCAGTAGGGCGCACCGGAGGACGCTCCGCCACTGGAGGTGAGTGTGGCGCCCGCCGCCGAGGGACAGCTCCCGGACGTCGCAGCGCCTGGGCAGCCCTGGGGGCAGGTTCCTGACCCCACGCGGTGGTGCAGGTGGCCCACGCCTGGCTCGTGGGTTTCAAGGTGCAGATGAAGGCGGCGCCGGGCAGTGTAGGAGGAGAGGGCGATCCCAGGGAGGGTCGCCTCCTGCGAGGTGTCAGATTGACCCGACAGAAAGCTATCGCCTCCCTGCTCGTAAACTTTCCTCTGCTGTCATTTGGGAAACGTGGAGACAAAGGGGGCGTGGAGGCTCCCATCGTCCGGTTCCACCCTCCTGACTGCATTCCGGGTTTCGAGGCGAGCCGGTCGCGTGGGTGGGCATGCGGGCCGGGGGCGCCCTGCAGGTAGGTGGTGCCAAGTCCTCCTACCTAGCCGGGATTGGGATTTCTCACCCTCAGCTATCAGCATTGCGATTGATTTTTGCCTGGGGCGTGGGCACCTGTCATCTTTCCCTTCCACTCGCCTGCGCCCCAGGCGCATAGTAGTGGTGTGTGTGTGTGTGTGGGGGGGTGTCACCTGAAGAATTGGAGGGACAACCATAGGCTTTCGCAGTGCTGGAGGCGCCGGGGTGAGGCTCGGGTCAGTGGGGGAATGAATGATGAGTTACTGAAAGGCTTGCCATAATCACCTCCTAGAAACGCTGGGCGCCAGGATCGCTCCTCTAGGGGGAAGATGCTGCTTTCACGTACACCAGCGCAGCAGCGCTGGGAGCTGGACTGGGGCTGCTGTCGCGGCAGCGGCGGCAGGGGCAGCTGCGGCTTTATTTTTGCCTTGGGGTTTTATGACACACACGTGTGGAATATGTGGAGGATTCTGGGTTATTTTTCTTTGTGGGCATACCGTTTTTTCTTTCAACCTTTTTCGTGGAAGAGATGTTTTGCTGCCTACTACCTGGGATCTAGCTGGTGGTGAGGCACGGTTCTGAATATCTCTTTGGCTCAAAAGAAAAGATTCTGGGAAAAGGATTCCTTAAAATGCCAACCCCAGTGGGGCAGGATCTCAGAGTACAGAGTGCTTGCCGGCATCTGGGGAAAGCTTGACAATCTAATGGTCCTTTGAAACAACCAAGACTGGGTCAGCATGCGATGAGTCCAGGAACTGGACAAAGGGGAACTCAGGAGGGATGGACAATGGTCTTTTGGGGGAGATGTGACCAGAGGCCCATTAAGGCAGAAAGAAGTCCTGTGCAAGACCAGGAACTCTGCAACCTTCCCTGAATTCACATGCCTCTTCTACTTCTGTGGGTGGCAGCTCCTATTCATGCAGCGGGACTCTAGTTTCGAGATGTCTGGAATGTCACATCTGGAACATAAAGGACATGATTATTCCTGGGCTTATCCTTTAGCATAATCACAAACTAGTTCTTTAGGTCTAGAAAGTGCCAGTGTGAAAGTTTCTCCATCTTGACATGTTTGTGCTTGGAAGGTGGGATGGCCACACAGGTATATTTTTGTCTCTTCTATACTCAAAAGTCTCAGATTTGTAAGGGAAGCCAAGCCAATGCTGGCAGAAGGAAACACCGGAGCCCAGATCCAGTACTGGTCATCAGAGGGGATTCTCTTCACTTGGAGATGACAGATGGGGCTCTCTCTCTCTGCTGCTGTTTGGAATAGGGACCATTTTTGTTTTTAACATTCTGTGACTTCAAAGAGGGAGAAAACACAGCAAACATACACACATATACATACATAGAAACACACATTTATGAGATTCATTGAGAAAGTTCACATATGAAAGAGTGGTTGACTCATCAGTTATATATCTCAAAGTGCAGAGGTTTGGGGAAAAGAAGAACGAAAGAAAAGGAATTAAGAAAAGATGCATATTACTAAAACAGATTGACTTTTATGATTTTTTAAAAGGCTTTCACTAAGACAGAAATCTGAAAGTGTTGTTTTTTTTTTCTTTTTCAAATAACAAGTGAAGTAAAGACCTTTCCAGAAATATTTTCAAGATGAAATTGGCATAGAGGGGGTTTAAAAATAATTGTCAGCATATGTCCTTTTTTATTTCATGGTGAATATTCTCATCATTTTCCTTGCAAATCTTGGCAAGAAAAGATCAAGATTTTTTTTTCCTCCTTACTAGAGCTCTTTCTTTGCTCTGCTACAATGTATTTCTTCCTTCTTCATTTCCAAGATCACTTTATTTTGATCATATTCAGATTCTGTTCACAAGTACTTATTGACTGCATATTCTGTATTTAGCAAGTCAGATAAAACGTATAACACTTCTGTTCCTCGAAGAGTTTACAATCTAGTTGTAAAAAATTAACATACATAAAATAATCAAAGTAGGATAGCTCTGAATTGTACTGTGAGCTCTTTACACATGTGCTACACATTCTGTCCCCTCTTCCTGGATTTTCACAGCACTTAGAAAACATACATCAGCACTTATTATATGTTGGAGCCCGGAGTAAAAAAATAGGAAGAAAAAAATTGGTCCCAGGAAAAGGGGGGAACACTTAGGTCTTAACTACCTATGATGTAATCCAACTAACTGTTATAATTGCAGAGTAAACCAAGTACCGACAATATAGACATGTAAATGATTTTCTTCTCCTGAAGAATTGGAACAGGTGATTATTGAGACATTTTTGAAAAAAAGAATAATATTTTCAGGTAGGGAAGTATAGAAAGGACATTCCAAGCAGAGAGAATGTGAGAGAGTGCTTGATAAATTAGCGTGAATATAAGTCATTGCTGTGTGGCTAGGGCCATACAAGCATGAACAGTGCCTGGGTGATAACTAATTAATACCTGATCCTGTGGCATGAGTGTTTGGATAGAGATGTAGCCAGAATGATATGGAAGCACAAGGGGAAGGTTTCCATCTAAAGGAGGGGAAGAAGATCAAGATGATTTCTTAGGGAGTTTGAAGTGAGCTGAATCTTGAACAAGGACAAGGAGACGAGAAAGACTTTCTGGGCAGATATGAACATGTGAGGACTAGAATTAGTTCTCTGTGACTGTAGTGAGAGGTGTGGGGTTTCAGCTCCTGGGAAGGACATGACATCAAGCCTGAGAAGTCAGCAGGGATCCAGGGTGAAAGGAACATGCAAAACAGCTTCAATTTTATCCAAATGGTCAGGAGCATTTGAAAGTTGGAAAAGCTGAGACATGATCTGATTTGCATTAGAGAATGATGGCTATGACCACAGTGTGGAGGATGAATTGGAAGTGGTGAGACTGGATGCAGAGAGCTTGTTGTGGAAATATAGGGAGGTGTGAGTGATGAGGGTGGTGGAGAAGGGTGGAGAAGACGACCTCTATCTAGGAAACAGAGAAGTGAAACCTGCTGATCTTCAAAGCAGGTCCACCATCACGTGCTCCTGTATCATCCTCTACTTCCCCAGCATTCACTTGTGTAGCTGTCTTTTCTGCCTTGGGAGGGCAAGGCATTCACAGCTGCATCTTCCACATTCAGTGCAGGCCTGGTACAGTCCCTACTCAGTAAATATTTGTTGAATGAGTGATTAAATAAATGACTGAGAAATAAAGTCACAAAGTGACGATGCTGCACTTAGAATAGCAGAAGCTAGATCATGATTTCCATTTCTCCAAGGCAATCAACTTTTGGGAAGTCAGTGACCAAAATGTTCCAGAGAGATCACAGCTACAAACAAAAGCACTTGCCTCAGCCACCTCCATGAAGACCTGTCATTTGAGGTGCCACTGAGGGAAATGGTGTTGAGACATCATTTCTTTTTATATTTAAAAAATCATACCATCAGCACATCTTGAAGGCAACATCAACCACATAATTAATTCCTGATAACGTAGTATGCTAGTGATAAGTGTGAATCCCCTTTTCCTTCTCTCTTGTCAAAATTTCCTGATTTCATGGAAATCAGGACTTTATGAAAACTTCTAAAACTAGCTGCGACTGGGGAGTTTGTAAGCCACAGAGTATCATTTAAGCAGCTCATGGCATACTGGCATCCCGGGATGTGGGCCAGACCACCCATGTTCATCAACAGTATAACCCTAGGAACTAGGCCTCTTATGAACCAAGCCCAGGCATATTGGATTTCAGTCTGAAAATCACAATAAAAGATGCCAGAATGGAGAAAACAGTCAGAACTTGTTTTCTGCAGGGGATGAAGGAAAGGAGCACCAAAGATAGTAGCTGCTTGAATGGTGTCAGAGGAATGATGAGGGAGGTGAGCCCAGGAAGGTGAAAACTCACTGCGGTCCTGCAGGAGTTGATTTTGGGGTGACATTGAAACAACTTAGAAAGCACTGGGACAGATCCCCGTGTGTAGTGATTTCATAGTCAATGGCAACTATTTTTTTGTGTTAAGGGAGAGGATCGAAAGAGCTGGACCATAGAGCCAGAGAGCAAATTTCAGCTTTTAACAACCAGAGATTAAGGAGAGAAACAAGCTCTGRTAAAGAATGTAGGAAGGGAATTCTCAGACAAAATGGGAAATAACTGGCAGGAAAGCAGAGGCCTTAGGAAATCATGAGAAGGGGTGATCAGATTTCACAGAAGTGGCCTGGGTCAGGCCTTGCACAAGTGCCCACATGTGGAATCTTGTTTTACCCCACAACACGTGTGACTCCTTTCTCCACTTTCCAGCCTAAGCAGCTGAAGCTGAGGGTCCAGCAACTTGACCATGATTAACAACCTTGTGTGTGTCAGGTCTCAAAATCCATTTTCATGATCCTACAGCCTGTCTCCCCTCTTGGAATGTGTAAATGATCAGAATGGTTTTTGAGTGAGGAGAGACTGAAAGGATTGAAAGTAGAGAACTGAGAAAAAGACAATGAAATTGGAGTTCTGGGGTAACTGTCAGGAAAGCAGCTTTAGCACAGCAGTGTGCTCAGAAGCCATATTTCAGAGTGGGGGAAGGAGCCAAGAAAATCCAGGCAGTGCACACCTATCAGTCATTCATGGAATCTGGCAGGGAGAAGAGTTATGGGGCCATTGGGAGAAGGTGCAGGGAGCTACAAG